TCGAACTAACATTGGATTGCCTGGCCCCTAAGGGTGGAACGTAGTACCAAACATGGCTCTAGGATAAGATCAAGGGTAGCTATGTTGAGATAAGATCTTTCTTCTCTTGCTTGAAACTTGCTTCTAATGTATTGTAAATTGTTTATTTTATTGTAATTTATTGTTTTAAATCATATTGTATTGTTTTAACCTGGCACTTAGTGCCCTGTAAGCCGCCCTGCGCCTCCGGGGTAGGGCGGGGTAGAAATTCAAATATAAATATAAATATAATAACTAAATTAATATAACCAAACCACTGTGGAACTAATTTACCTCTCTTTCCTTTCCAAGGTGGGTTTGATCAGTGGAATCTGTGTCATAGTTGGGACTGTGATAGGTTCAGGGATCTTTATTTCTCCCAAGTCCGTGCTGGCAAATGTCGGGGCAGTTGGGCCTTGCTTAGTCATATGGGCAGCCTGTGGACTTCTGGCTATGTTAGGTAAGTGGTTTCTAGTGTTTTCCTGCTTTTCTTTCATTAAGTAAAACAAATTTCTTGTACTGTATCGTTTTGTGTTATAATTGATTACTTGCTGATTTCAGTGTTTGCTTCAAAAGTACTATATTCAGGGCAGTGAGAAAAGCCAGGGGAAAAAAAATCATGGGTCACATTGTTTTTAGACTGTTCCCTTTTATTCCCTTGGCTTTTGATCATGGGAAAACTTTTGCTCACGAAATGATGGAAAACTAAGTAATGCATCAATGCTGGAGAAGCAAGTTAATGCAGTTGCAAAAAAGACTTTCTTCCAACTCAGCCTAGCTCAAAAAATGGCCCCTTATCTTGATACAAGTGATCTGGCCACCTGGATCCACACCACAATGACTTTGAGATTAGACTGCTGCAATGCACTGGCCATTGGTCTCCCCTCAAAATCAATTTGGAAACTCCAGTTGGTGCAGAATGCCATGGCTCAGCTATTCCTGGAAGCTAGGTGGAGCATGCATATTATTACTCCCTTCTACAGTCACTCAGAGGTCATTTCGGGGGGGGATCGCGGGGGATCTCAGTCCCCCCGGGTGAGGTACGGGGGCGGGGCACATGACAAAGCCCCGCCCCTGCTTCCGGCCGCCCCGCTTCTGGCCCTCATTCAGCCAGGAGGAGGCAGGAGAAGAGGGAGGGTAAGTTGCTTCCTCCCTGCCTCTCCCCACCCCTGCCTGCCTGGGGCCAGAGGACGGCCTTCACGGGGCTTCCTTGCACTCCCGCCGGCCTTGCAGGTCCACCGCCGGGCCCCTCATGGGGCTTGGCAGTGGAGCTGCAAGGCTGGCGGCGGCTGGGACCGTTGGGGGCGGGGTGTGTGGCCTTGTGACACACTTCTGGTGATGTCAGGGGGTGTGGCCTTATGACACACTTCTGGTGATGTCAGGGGGTGTGGCATATGCTAATGAGTTATGCTAATGAGTTCCCCTAGCTCTTTTTCTACGAAACGACCCCTGCAGTCACTCCACTGGCTGCCCATCAGTTACCAGGCTCAGGTTACTAAATTGGCTGCCACATACAAAGTCCCTCATGGCCTTGGACTCTCATATCTGTGAAGCCGTTTATCCCCCTATGCTCTGCCATGACAGCTTCGCTAATTTGAGCAAGGCCTTCTGCAAGTGCCAACCTGCCAATGGGCAAAATCAACAACTGCCCAAACACGTGCCTTCTCTGTGGTGGTGCCCACCTTGTGGAACGGCCTGCCTGAGGAGTTCAGGAAGGCTCCTGCTATCCTGGCTTTCTGCAAACTATGCAAAACTGAATTATTGAAGGGGGCTTTTTAACACAGGCAGCAGGGTAGCTCTCTACAATTAGGGGTCATTTCCTGCTGGAGCGTGCCGGAGCAGCGCTCCGGCAGTAAGGAGCCCAGGGGCAACCCCCCACTGCCTTTCCTGGCCCACCTGCCCAGACGGACGGGCCAGAGAAGACCTGCAGAGCCCCCCACCGCCTGGGGGCATTTTAAACATGTCTGGATTTCCTGCCTGATCTTCTCCAGGTGCCCCGCAGCCATGGGGCTCCTGGAGAAGATCAGGCAGGGAACCCAGGCATGTCTGCCTGCCTGGCCTTCCCTTGCCTTCTCCAGCCAGCCCGCTGCAGCAGGTCGGCTGGGGAGGGTAAGGGGAGGCAGGCAGACATGCCCCCTTTTCCCCCTGAGCCTCTCCGCTTTTGTGGAGAAACTCAGGGAAGTGGTGGTGGGGAATTTAAATGCCTTTCTTTCCCTTCCCCAGATGGGAAAGGCATTTTAAACATGCCTGGGTTCCCTGCCTGATCTTGAGAAGATCAGGCAGGGAACCTAGGCATGCTTGCATGCCTGCCCTTTGTCAGGGGGTGTGGCATATGCAAATGAAGTATGCAAATGAGCTCCTGCACCTCTTTTTCTACGAAATGACCCCTAGTTATTTGGACAGATTATTAGGGACTGTTGTCTATACTACTCTGTATAATTTGCTATAAATTGGATCCTCCTGTGTAAGGATGTTAACACTTATGCTTTGCTTCAGTTCTTTTTTTAGATTTCTGATTGGTTCTACAACTCAGATCCTATTTCATTGTTTATTGAATGTCCCATCCCATTGATTGCATTGGCTCACTCTGTGTAATCTGCCTTGAGTCCCAATGAGAATGATGGATTATAATAAATAAATAAATAAATAAAAAAGAGAACTGGCCCAAATATGTACTTTTCTCTACTGCCTTTTATTTTATTGCCACCCCCAGAATCTGGGGCAGTAATTGACAAACACTGATGGCATAGACACTGTCCAGTAGGTGCTGCTCCAACTACGGTAGCACTCACAAATGGGATAACTGCAGCCACGTAGGAGAAAACTGTATTTTCCTAGTAACTCAAAGGACTTGGATTCCATGGAAGATTTCCACAGGCAAGTGGAAGTTCTAGCATTACTCCTTGCTGTCTTCTTGCTCCAAATGAAAGCAATTATATATTTTCTGATATACTTTCAAAACCAAATAATGGAAACTGTACCTCTGCATGCACACTGATATTTTATTTAAAATTACTGAAATTGCGGTGTGTTACTCCAGAATGTGCTTTTGCAGGCACAAATGGAACCACATAAAGTATATTTTTCCTTTTTGCTCCTGTGTTGCTAGCTCCATTCCCAAATTCTTTTGTTTTTTTTTAAATGGTAAGGAAAATATTAATTCCCCACAGCAAATGCTCTGTCTAGATGGAGGAGGCATCTAGTTTCATCTCTCCGAATAAATCTAGCGTTTAATTGGAAACTGAGGCAATGGGGTTGCTATAGGGGGCCCCCATTAAACTCTGGTGCACCTTATAATTAGGGCTTTAGATAAGACAGATCGAAATGCTGAGAGGCATCTGTGATTGTCTGCCTGCAGCCAACACAACAGAAGTGTTGTGGCATCTTAAAGGCCAAAGAAAGCATTGTAGCATAAGCTCCGGAGCTCAGTGTCAGATGTATGGAAGGTCAACGGCCTGCAGCTCAAAGGCCCTTTCAGACTCCTCTTCTTCTTTCCTCAGGGGCGCTGTGCTTTGCCGAACTTGGCACCACAATAACAAAATCGGGAGGAGAATACCCTTACCTTATGGAAGCTTTTGGCCCAATACCCGCCTTTTTGTTTTCCTGGACTGCTTTCGTTGTCATGAAGCCCAGTTCCTTTGCCATCATTTGCCTCAGCTTTGCCAAGTATGCGTCGGCTCCGTTTTATCCAGGATGCGACCCTCCCGTAGCAGTCGTCAAGTGTTTGGCAGCCGCCGCCATTTGTGAGTATTTGGGGTTTGCGTAGCAAGAAGAGATGAAGCATGGCCATTAACAAGCTGTGTTTTCTGGAGACAACCGCAAAACATGTAGGTGAATGAGGCCGGTTTGGTGCCTGGCCAAAACTGGGGGTCAGCTGGACACCGGATGCACGTCAGCAGGCCACCAGCCTTGGTGATGTAAGTTGGCTGTATGCTGATTCCCTCATGCAGTAAGGGAAATCCACCAACAAAAGAAAAAGGAGAGTAGGTTTTTATACCCTGCTTTTCTCTACCCAAAGGAGTCCCAAAGCGGCTTACAATCAGAGGTCGATTCGGGGGAATCGCAGTTCCCCTGGGTGAGGTGTGGGGGGCGGGGCACATGACGAAGCCCCGCCCCCTGCTTCCGGCCGCCCTGCTTCCGGCCCTCATTCAGCCAGGAGGAGGCAGGAGAAGAGGGAGGGTAAGTTGCTTCCTCCCTGCCTCTCCCCACCCCTGCCTGCCTGGGGCCAGGGAGGGCCTTGGTGGGGCTTCCTCGCACTCCCGCCGGCCTTGCAGGTCCACTGCCGGGCCCCTGATGTCAGGGGGTGTGGCATATGCTAATGAGTTATGCTAATGAGTTCCCCTAGCTCTTTTTCTACGAAACGACCCCTGCTTACAATCACTTTCCCATCCTCTCCTGACAACAGTCACCTTGTGAGGAAGGTGGGGCTGTGAGAGTCCTGAGAGAACTGAGACTGGCTCAAGGTGACGCAGCAGGCTTCACGTGGAGGAGGGGGGGAATCCAATCCACTGCTTTCCAGATTAGCGTCTGCCACTCTGAACTACTACGCCATGCTGGTCTATGGATCCCCCTCTTGCTAGACTGGGAAGCACACTCAGATGCTGATGTACGTTCAGAGACTCATCCATGTCACCTGCTACATCCAGATGTAAAGTATTCAGTGACAGCCAGTGTGCTGTAATGGTTGTTGGACTAGGAGCTGGGAGACCCAGGTTCGAATGCCCACTCTGCCATGGAAGCTTGCTGGGTGACCTTGGGCCAGTTCCCCCCCCCCACTCTCAACCTGTTCTGTTTCACAGGGTGGTGGTTGTAAGGATAAAACAGAGGAGAGGGGAATTATGTAAGCCACTTTGGGGGGCCCTAAACTCAGTGTGGTGCCCATTCCTGATGTGCGTGTTAAATGGGTATGCGTGTTCCTGTTGGTCTCACCATGTGGCTTGCAATACACATCTCCATATGCTGTCTTGGACACTTGCACCCAGAGACCACACAATGCACAAGCCATAGGGATGTTGGCCTCCCAGTGGGACCTTTGGCATAGTACCCTTCTGAGGTCCCCATCCTCCACCCCAAATCTTTAGGAGTTTCCCAACGTGGATATGCCAGCCCCCTCCCCCACCCCCCTCCGACGGCCAGGGGGTACCTGGCAACCCTAACAAGCCATGCTCCAGGCTGTTGCTAAGAAAAGGCAGAGGAAGAGGATTTATACCTCCCCCTTCACTCGGAGTCTCAGAACAGGTTACAATCTCCTTCCCTTCTTCTTCCCACAACAGACACATTGTGAGGTAGGTGCGGCTGAGAGAGCCCTGAGAGAACTGCTCTTGAGAGAACAGCTCTGAGAGAACTGTGACTGACCCAAGGTCACCCAGATGGCTGCATGTGGAGGAGTGGGGACTCGAACCCGGTTCTCCAGATTAGAGTCCGCCACTCTTAACCACTACACCAAATTTGTGTAGCCTTCATTGAGATGGACAAGCAGAGACAGATGTAGATGCATGCTCCATGAAGACAAATGAGTCTGTCTCTGGTTGTCTGAGAGAGTTGAATGGAGTAGTGGTGGTGGTGGTACAGTGAACAGCGATGGAAAAAGCTGCTTCAACCACATTTCTTCACTGACAGAGAGCCTCTGCTCTATACAATATCTCAGAACATGTCTTTCAACGAGGCACAGGAGTATTTTTTTCCTGCTTAAAAAGATAACTGTGCCTCCTCCGATGGGCAGTGCGCGTGTGAACAGCCTTGCAGTGAGACCCATGTTCCATAGATTTGTGTGTGCAAACTCTGATTGAAGGCTTATGCCCCAACATTTAATCTCATCTCGGCAAACAAATCTTCAGCTACTTTTGCGAAACCGTTTCTTGCGGCCTTGCTTGCTGCCTGTTTCGCTCTCAGTTGTACTGTATATTTTCAGCTGTGCCAAGCTTGGTATGTAATTAATACAGCCAAAAGGCTGTTAATCCTGCTCACATACTGTGGACAGCACCACATTTTAAAAAGGCTACTTGTTATTAATTCTGTAACAAAATAGTGTGGCATTTAGAATTTAAAAAACAAAATTGTTCTGAAAAATTGACAGACCCCCCCCCCCTTAAATATTTTAATGTATGAAGATTGGAGCCTCATGTAATCTATTTGTGATATTTCTGATTCTTTTTTTCGTTCTTGTCCTTTTTCTTAGTGGTCATTACTACAGTGAATTCTCTGAGTGTGAAGCTAGCGAGCTACATGCAGAATTTTTTCACCGTTGCTAAAATGGTGATCGTTGTCATCATCATTATAAGTGGACTTGTCCTCCTTGCCAAAGGTACATTAGTGTTTGTGCAGCAGTCTCTAGGTGATTTACAACAGCTATTTATCTTGGTTTGAGAGGTGGTTGGTTTCCATTGTGGGGAAATATCTGTTTATTGACTTTTTAAATACCACTTTCCATGTAAATACACCCATATGAAAGGAAGGAATAACCAAGGAGGAAGGGAGAAAAAAATGGGGGGGGGGGGGGGGGGAGAGATGGCCTCTTTATGGTCTCTTTGCATCACACTGATGGGCTTTGAGCTTGCACAGGGCTTCAATTCCAAAACCTTTAGAGGTAGCATTTAGGTGTGGAAATCTTCTCCCCTCAGATGTACAGCTCTGACTGCGTGCGTACAAGGGAGAAGAGCTGCATTTTCCTGCTCGGACCCTTCCAAAATGCCCCAGCAAGTCAGGCACCTGCAGTGGGGAAGGTGGGTGGGTCACCTGAATGTGCAGGCTGCCACTCGAAGGACAACAGCTACAGAGAAGCAACCTGTTCTGTTCTGTCCCAGTACATTTTAAAAAGCTAGCCTAAAGCTATGGGCAATTGCCACTTAAAAGTGTGTGTGGGAGGGAAGTACTAAGATCTTGCGAGGGATAATATAAAAGCATTTTTGAAAATAATAGTATTATGCTGGCAAATTCCAAACTGGCTGCTGTGTTAGTGTGTTGCAGCCAAATCAATAAAGAGGACTGTGCGTGACAAAAGCTTTGGTGAGCCAGAATCCACTTCTGTATGAAGTATTACTGCACTCAGTTGCCATATAAATTTGTGTCTATGGCCCCGGTCACACGGGAGACTTTGATCCACAAGAGGGACGGATCGGGGGTGCATCAAGCGGTCGCAATCACACTGCAACATCTGGGAAGCAGCGCGCACCCGTCCCGGATCTGTCTCTTCCGGCCGAAGATGCGGATAAAAAACCCCCCTACAAAACACTAGTAAAGGTAAAGGTTCCCTTGCTCGAAAGCCAGTCGAATCCGACTCTAGGGTTGCGGTGCTCATCTCCGTTTCAAAGCTGAAGAGCCAGCGCTGTCCGAAGACGTTTCCGTGGTCGTGTGGCTGGCATGACTAAACACCAAGGCGCATGGAATGCTGTTACCTTCCCACCGAAGTGGTACCTATTTATCTACTTGCAATGTCTTGCTTTCGAACTGCTAGGTTGGGAGGAGCTGGAACTAGAGATGGGAACTCACTCCATCATGCGGCAACTCGGGTCTCGAACTGCTGAACTACTGACCTTCCACAGCCTGCAGTTCAGCGTCTTAACCACTTGAGCCACCGCAGCATACAAAACACTAGTACTTACCGGAAAATCAGCAGCAGGGGCGGCCGTGTGATCACCGGCACGCCCATCTCTCCAGCATATGCGGTCCTGCCGAAATGCGCATGCATGCGCAGCAGGCTCGCCTTGCTCTGCGGTCCGTGGCTCCCCCCCGCCCCCGGCATCTGATCATGCTGGGGAGGAACTGTGTGGTGGCTGGGGAGATCTGTCTGATCCCGCCGCTGTGCTTCTCTTTTGATGCGGCTCAACAAAGCTGCACTTTAGCCGCGCCTTTCCCCTCAGTGTGACCGGGGCCTTTGTATGTTTTAATATAGACATAAATATTTCTCTTGGTGCGTGTGTGTGTGTGGGTATACTTGATCCCTGACCTGGCTCGCCTGATCCTATCAGACCTTGGAAGCTAAGCAGGGTCAGCCCTGCTTAGTGTTTGGGTGGGAGACCTCCAAGGAAGTCCAGGCAGAGGCAGGCAATGGCAAGCCCCCTCTGAACATCTCTTGCCTTGAAAATCTTCTGGGGCAACCAGAAGTCTGTTGTGACTTGATGGCAAAACCAAACATACATGCTCCATGCATCTTGTGAAGTGGATTCCAGATTATGGAGGTTTCTGCCACAACATTCCTTAGTCTTTAAGATGCCACAAGACTCTTTGTTATTGCATGTGCATGTACATTTGATAACTATGGCATTGTTATCAACTGAGGCCAGTCACTTTTTAAAAAAGGGAATGGATTTGTGCTTTTGGAGTGTACAGACAGTACATGGTCTGTTTCATTGCGTATCATTGTGTAGGATCAGTATGCTCACTTGAGATGTATTGAGGAGTAATTACATGTGGTCTGAAACACTGGGCACATGTACAGAGATACCTCTGGGAAAAAATGACAATATACAAATAGCTTAAAATAAACTGTTCAAGACCAGAATTTAATTGATATAAAAACAGCAGTCGTAGCACTGTAAAAAAAAGGAAAGAATGGCCTGCTTCATCAGATGTACCAAATGTTTATGTATAAAGTGTTGATGTAGTTTGCTTGTTTGCAGGAAACACACAAAATTTAATGAATTCATTCGATGGTCCCCCAATTTCAGTGGGTGCTATTAGTCTGGCTTTTTATAATGGACTCTGGGCATACGATGGATGGTAATGCAATTTTATTACTGTTAGTAGTTAAAGTATAACCATATCTTATCAGCAGATAAATTTTTTATGCCTGATTTTAATTTCTCCTCATCATACTGTCACAAAGCTGTTCTGGGAATGTTGCCGTGTGCTTTCTTGTTTCTAAGAATCACAGCAGTGAACTCTGGGAAAAAGAACTTATCTGAAAAATAAGGTGGCTTCATCAGTGGCTTTGAATTCACTGTTGACTCTTATCTGTGTTTTGTTGTTACTGTTTTATAGATTCTGTTTTACAAATTCTGTTACTGATATTTCATTTTTGTTGTGTTAATTGCATAAGACAGCCTGTGCATTTTTATGAAAGCTACAGTCAGTAAATAAGCTTATATTACTGTGGGATCTGCCAGGATTGTATAAAGATCGTTCTTTGGGTGCAAAATCCACAGAATGGAAATATGGCTTGGCACCGGCATACCTTGAGGCTAAAAAAAGGCATACTAGTTCATTTTTGTAGTATTATCAACAGCAGTATTACAAATGTTGCAGGAAGTACATCCTGACTTCCAAGTAATTTGCAGCCCAGTGCATGCTTATCCAGAAAGGAAACCTATCAAGTTCTATGGACCTTTCTTCTGAGTACCCATGAATAGGATTGTGGGCCTGGGAAGTAACACTTTTGGTGCTTATCTTCTTCCAGGACTCAGCTCAATTATATCACAGAAGAGCTTAAAAATCCCTACAGGTAAGAAAAACATAACTTAAGCAGCTGACGCAGCATCGTTACATCACACCCATCTGCTTAGGTATTCTGTTGTCTTGTGTATTTTAATAACATTTGTTCAGCCCATTGATCTCTGCTATGCTGGTGATATATTTGTACAACTCTGTGATTTTTAAAAGGCGCTTCCCTTCCGTTTTTATGCTGTATAGGCTGAAACCTGAAGCCATATCTAGAGGGGGAGAGAGTTCTTAATGATTTCCCTTTGTGCCATTGGCTTGTGAAAACCGTTCCGTCCCATCCACCCCAAACAGCTTTTACCTGTATGCCCTCCCCAGCAGTAGCAGATGAAGGGGGAAATTTTCAGTGGAGAAACAGCACAAGGGGGAGGGGGAAGTACCACAGTGTCCCCCCCCCCCCGTTGCATCCTCAGCACCATCAACTGCCAGCCGTTCTGTAGCTTGGCGGAAAGAGAGAGGAGATCCCTTTCCACCGGCCTTACGAGGCTCAACTCTCCCCCCGCCCTTCACTAGCCACTCTGCAGGAGCGATAGGAAGGACCAGTATTGCGCCTTCCCTGGCCCCCCTTTCACCACGGTGTATTTCATACTTCTTTGTTAGCTGCCTGGAGTTTTGAAAAAGGGGAGGTAAAAATATAATAAACAGCAGGATATATCCTACCACTTAATGAGGGATGCCAGACTCCAGGTGGGACCTGTGGATCCCCCGGAATTACAGCTCATTTTCAGACTATGGACAGCCGTTCCTCTGGAGAAAATGGATGCTTTGGAGGGTGGCAGGACTATGGCAGGACCCCACTGAGGTCCCTGTCCTCCCCAGGATAGCCCCAAATCTCCAGGAGTTTCCCAACCTGGATCTGACAACCCTACCCCCCCCTCCCCTTCCAGCAGCCAGGGGGGAACTGGCAACCCTACGTGACTTCAGAGAACAAAGTTGGAAGTTTTTGTATTGAATATATATTGTTCTACTGGTTTTATGAGCCACCCTGAGCCTGCTTTGGCGGGGAGGGTGGGGTAAAAGTCGAAATAATAAATAAATAAATAAGTAGATCTTGCCCCAAAGAAAGGGCCATTTACACTGGAGGTAGGCTGTTTACCAGCCTCAGGTAGGATACATGCCAACAAAAACCCAAGTTCCTTAAAAAGATCATGGAACTGCAGAATGCACATAGCCCATCCTAGCTCTCTCCACAGGGATGAACAAGCAATGTGCTTTCTTACCAAATTAATTTTTTAAATAAGTGCTTGTACATTTGCTATGCTTTCCTTGAGGCACCTTGCCACAATTAAAACAATTGAGTCTTAAAATGGATCGTAACGTTCACGTACAAATCTAATGTAATTTATGTTTTTAATGTAACTTATTTCATGTAATTTACATGTTTTCATGTAAACTGCCCTGAGCCGGCTCCAGCTGGGAGGGCGGGGTAGAAATCCAATAAATAAATAAATGTACAAAAACATTTCAACACTCTTGTTTAATACAAGCCCGGTGTGCTGGCTAGTGTTGGATTAGGATCTGGAAGACCCAGGTTCGAATCCCTACTCTGCCATGGAAGCTCACTGGTTGACCTTGGGCCAGTAACATGCCATCAGCCTAACCTACTTTACAGGGCTGTTGTGAGGATAAAATGGAGGATTATGTAAGCTGCTTTGGGCCCCCCCTGAGGAAAAGTGGGGTGTAAAATGAAGTAAATAAATCAGTATTACTCATGGCTATGGCGAGGCCTCACCTATCTTTCTAAAGATGCTTGCAATATTGTCTTTCTAAACAAGGGGGGGGAATAATCTGATCGTATATGTCTGTATATTATTTAGGAATCTACCGCTGGCTATCCTTATTGGAATCCCACTGGTCACAGTTTGTTATACTCTGATCAATCTTTCATATTTCACGGTTATGACTTCAACAGAACTCCTGCAGTCCCCAGCAGTTGCTGTGGTGAGTTTTTAAAAATAAGTCAAGCTGAACTTTCCAGAAACTATTTTTGCTTCAGATATGGGCTCAACTAGAAACCTTTCCTTTCATCCACTCAAAGCTCTCTGATGCATAGATCTTGAGCAGGGAATAGTTATACATCATTTATTACTCAACAGGCAAAAGGAGTAAATTTTATTTTACAACAGCTAGGGTTTTCTTCTGGATCCTTATCTGCAAGTAGAGATGCAGTATTTCTGAGGTTAATATACAATGGACACTCCAGGAGAATGGGTGCAACAGTATCAGTCTTGCCTAAAGAGCAGCAGCAGATTTGTTCTGAGCAAGGCAAGTGCCAAAATCTACCCCTCATTACTGACTTCTGCTGACTCTGAAGGAGGAAAACAAGCAAGCAAGCATGCTGAAAAACATTTCAGATTTTATTACTGGCATCTTTAATTAATTAATACTGCAGTGAAAACCATCCGCTGCACAGAATGTATGCAACCATAACATACAACATAGAAACAACTAGAATTACAAACCTAATTTTAAACTGGATTGGTCCATTCACTCTGCTTTGTTGAATTTAACGTCCTTGGTTCCTACTGAAGCAACACCTAAGACTGAAATTACATATGTGAAGCACAGGAAGGTTGAAAGGAGATTTCAAATACATCCTCCTGCATAGCCAATTGTTGAGTTATAGTGCAGCCCTATGGGGTTACTCCAGTTTATGCTCACTGAAATTAATGGAGAAGATTGGAGAAGTTCTGTGAAGGACTGCATTGTCAAAAACCCAGTAGAAGCCTGTTTAGAACAGCCTTTCTATTCCTTCATACATCAACACCAAAGGCTGGATGGAAACATTAACTGTCACTGGTGAATCCAGCATATGACCTCTATCTATTTCATTTGTACCTTGCCCCTTCTCTCCAAGGAAGAGTTCCTGATTGTAAAAGACACATACATTCTAAAAGACAGTTTTAAAATGTTCTTCTAAAAATAATTATATTTTTAATATGTGAACAGAAGTGTCTACATTCACACATGTATCCATGTAAAAGAAAATGAAGTGAAATGGTTTCCCTGTAACTGGCTTTTTGTATCCCCCCTGAAGTGAAGCTATGCTTCTACAGCTATCCTGATATGGCTTCTGTATCTGGCTCAGTGCTACAGTGGTGACAGCAGGGAAGTCGCTTTAATTGCTCTGCAGAAATCATCATCTAAGAGACAAGAAACACATTCACACAGCATAACATAGATATGCTAATTTGTACCAAAAGTATACATTTTTAAAGGGCCTTTTGGGGTGGCTGTATCTCTATACACCTAATTTGCTGGCTGCTAAAGTCTGCTTTTAAAAACGTGCCTCAATTTTAATTTCTTCTTTCACAGACATTTGGAGATAGAGTTCTTTATCCTGCTTCTTGGGTTGTACCGCTGTTTGTAGCTTTTTCAACCATTGGGGCTGCCAATGGGACTTGCTTCACTGCCGGCAGGTAAAACTCAAAGCTATTGGATTGGATATGCAGCTCCAGTATAAATATACAAGTTAGGGTAACGCTTTCCCCAGGACTTAGACTGCAGCCATCTCAGGTACTATGTGCAGGAGCATGAAAATATCTCAACTGCCACATTAGACCGGGCAACCCCAGTACTCTGGCCTCCTTCCACTCTCTCCAATGGAAGGAAGGTCTCTGTTGGAGGAAGGTTTCTCACTGGACCTAACCCTTCTTTTGCCAAAAAAGAACACACAAAAGCAAGGTCATGTTGGCAACTTACCCAGCAAAGGATTCTTAGCTGTCTGCAGGGGAAGGCAATGGTAAACTACAACTGCTTCTCACTGACTTTGAAAGCCTCTTGCTGGGGTTGCCGTCAGTCAGTTGCAAGTGACGGCACTTATGTATGCAGTGCAGGCATCCAGTTTCACAAGTGCTTATACACTGTGGTAAGTTACCATTTAGTAAAGGGCTGTGTATGTTCCATGCTGTCCAGCACAAATTCTACAATGCTGCGGTGGGGACGGGGGACCTTAGGATGACCTCTCATGTCAAAACACCAACCAGCCAGGTGTAGTTTCTGCACAGGCTGCTTTGTTTTGCCCTTACAAGACAAGCCACACTTAGCAACATTTCCCTAAGCTACAAACCATTAGAAGTACAGCAGTCTTGTCTGCCTTTGCATCTGGGGGCCCCCATCCAAAGAGGTAATCCAAACAATTTGTCCTTCTAGGCTCATTTTCGTAGCAGGTCGTGAAGGACACATGTTAAAGGTGCTGTCCTACATCAGTGTTAAACGCTTGACTCCGGCGCCAGCCATCATATTTTATGTAAGTATAAGAAGTTCTGAAGTGTCCAAATTAGACCTTCAAGCAAAAAATCAAATCTTTACAACTGGGCCCTCAAATTAAGCTTTATTGAAAAGCACCGAGATTGCATGCTGATTACTGTTAATATGCAGACATTTTAACATGGCGGTCTTGTATCCTAAAGAAACCTCCAAGTATTAGGAATGCAATTCCAAGTTGGCTGGAAGAGAGATCTACTTATTTAAACAAGAGGCAAGCTATGCTTGACATGGGAGATCTGCAATAAGACTGCTCAATGTATTTCTATTTACATCTACCCCTGCCCCATGAACCCAATCCAAACTGCTTTCCTGGGTTACTTAAAAAATGGTGATCTGATCATGGATCTTCCACATAACATGCAATTTGAACCTAAGACTAGATTTCAGTAAGCAGCATGATAATTACAACTGATGTTTGAAAGTTGTCCATTAGTATGTATTACTAAGCAGGGCTTTTTTTGTAGAAAAAGCCCAGGAGGAACTCATTAGCATAATAGGCCACACCAAACAGCAGAAATGTATTAGCATATTAGGTCACACCCTGACAGCGCAGCTCATTAGCATATTAGGCCACACCCCCATGCCTTCCCTTGGCTTGCCCGGGTGCCCCATGGCTGCAGGGAGCCCGGGCAAGCCCCCTCTTGAAGGGAAGGCAGTTTATTCCCTTGGCTTGCCCAGGTGCCCCACAGCTTCAGGGAGCCCAGGCAAGCCAGCCCTTGGAGTAGCCAGGGGGGGTTGCTCTCCAGGCATTCCCATTCCTGCCCCAAAATAGCCCTGAGTATGAGCATAGTTTTAACACTGTGAAATCTCTCCCTATTATTCCATGCCTTGTCATTCCAGGGTGCAATAGCCATCATTTATATCATCCCTGGAGATATTGAAACACTGATCAACTACTTTAGCTTCGCTGCTTGGATATTCTATGGCTTGACTGTGCTGGGACTTATTGTCATGCGCTTTACAAGAAAAGAACTCAAAAGGCCAATCCGTGTGAGTGTAATGTCAGAAGATGTTCTTCAACTCCATTGTTTCCTTGATTACAGTCCATCTGGGTTTGGCACCTGTAAATTGGCCTTAATCCCCTCCCCCCAAAGTGGCATCAGATAGCCTCTCAATAAATTCTCTTGGGACTTTTTTCTGCCTTCCTATTGTCCATATAAGCCTGTTTACTATAGCTTGAAATGTTTCACATTAAACTCTTTTTAAAAAACCCAAAATCCTGCAAGCAAGATTTGTCCATGCCTGATGGGAAAACAGAAGAATAGGAATATAGTGCAAAAAAGGAAGGTGCAACTAAACTGTTCTGTTTTTCCATCTTATGGTCCAGAATGTCCATCCTTGGTGGCTGGCCCCATCAAGTCCAAGACAATCAGGGACCCCAGCCATCTCATCACAAATTATTGTTTTCTCCTCTTCTGTAGGTACCAATTATCATCCCCATCATCGTGACATTGGTATCCGTCGTGCTGGTGTTGGCACCCATCATTACTGCTCCTGAACTGCCGTATTTGTACTGTACTCTATTTATTCTTAGTGGACTTATCTTTTATGTCCTTTTTGTTCATTTTAAGTTCAACTGGGCTCAAAAAATTTCAAGTAAGTCAACTTTTTATTTGACCAGTATCTTCCGTCTAACTAGGATGAATTTGTGACAACTGCAGGAAATTGTGTTGCTGCAAATGTGCTTGGATGTTTTATTGCAAATGGAACTGCAGTAGTGGAGAAAGTTCCAAGAGAAGTTCTTCTGGGGTTAACAACAAAGGCTAAATGGAACCTCCACATGCAGAAGCAGTATAACTGAACAGCAGTGAGGCTATTGCATTTGTGCTCTGTTTGTGGGCCACATGGAGGCATCTGGTTGACTACTGGTAGGCAGAATGCTGGACTACACAGACATTGGTCTGAGCTAGCAGCGCTCACTTGTTCTGCACCAGGCTTGCCATCTTTTTTGGAGGCCACCTGTCCATTTAAGAGGTGCACGGCAGATGAATTAAAGATACAGGAGTCCTGCCAGGTAACAGATGACAACACTTTTCCCAGAACCCCTGTCTGCATGGCATCAGCACATGGGTCCTTGCTATGCACCAACACATACTTGTTGGATCTTATATTCTTATGTTCCTGTGACTAGAAGAGAAGCCAATGTTGTATCAGGCCAATGGCCCATCTAGTCCAACACTCTGTCACACAGTGGCCAAAAATACCAGGTGCCATCAGGAGGACCATCAGTGGGGCCAGGACATTAGAAGCCCTCCCACTGATGCCCCCCCAAGCACCAAGAATACAGTGCATCACCTGCCCCAACCTGTGAGTTCCTATCTATACCTTGTGGCTAATAGCCACTGATGGACCTCTGCTCCTTCAGGGCAGCTGTGATTTAATGCAATACACACTTTAGACCCGTGTATGTGTGTGTTCATAACCTGCCACTATCTTCTCTGCAGAATTTGGTCTTTTCAAAATGAGATTTGCATCGTTTGATGCAAGGATGGCACCATAAAGCCTCAAGTGTCCTTTGTGGGGCTGTAATCCGGTTCTGTAGAGGCTTCCATGAGCATCAAAGATCACCAGTTTACCTCCTCTTGGAGGACATCTGAAAAGTAGACTAAAACATTGTAAATGAGGATGCCTTCACCCTTCACTTAGTCACCATGCCAACAAATTGCAATTCCTCATTTCATCATGGTAAAATGGCTCTATGAAATCAGCCCACAGTCTTGGCAAGTTAATACTGAGCAAAATGAACACAACTAGAGCATCAAGGAGACAGAATCATCATGGTAGGGTCACAGGTCCATTTTTTAAGCCGGTGGTTAATGATTTTGACTAGGCTCCAGTTTCTGGGAATGACCCTGCCATTAGATTGGTTTCAAAATTATTTGAATTGCTCAGCATTTAAAACTGCAAAATATATTTCTAGGGAAGATCTATAAACACAGGAATTTCTGTATTGCAGGGCCAATCACTATGCATCTTCAGATGCTTTTGGAAGTTGTTCCACCAGAGGGAGTTACAGAATAGCACCTATTTTTTCCCCAATGCGTAAGAAGGAAGGATCCTGAAAAACAGACAACTGCACTGGACATCAGGGCCCAGGACTGTCGCACTCTGAGCATCAGGACCCATTTGTGAGGCAGCTCTGCTCAAATCAATTCCTTTTTATTGTTTCCAGCACTTAGAAGTCAACTGTTGGTAACACTGCAAGAAAATATTTGGGTGGGGGGGACCCCCACTGCCTGAGTGGGTTTCTGGGCCTGAGATTTGATTTCAACTCTGTCAGGACTGTGCAATGGAAAGCATTTCTACCTCTAGTAAAAGTCTGAAGAGCCTTCAACAAGGCGAGAGAACAGAACAAGTAGTATCACAGTGCCCTCTACCAGCAAACAAACATGGAAGCAAGGAAATAAAAATCTCATTCATGAAGCTCAGGTAAATGTGTCTCAGAGATATGCCAAAGGCAGAAGTCCAGAGACTGACTAAGGTGAGACTATCACAAAGAGAAAGGAAGGCAGATCAAGGATTGGCACTGATCCCAATCCTTGTGATATGATGCTTGCTCTGGAAGCTGAAGCACAAATGCATTAGGTGGGATGATTTGACAGGCTAAGCTTCCTATGGAGCATTTACTCTTCAGAAGCATGAAACTGATTACCGGAACAGCTTTTTGTCAGCAGGATAGTAGCAGCCCTCCCTCACCTAACAGCTGCCTGGGCTCTGACATGTAAGTCAGCAATGTCTCTGGCTCTTTGAGCAGAAAGGAATGCATGCAAACTAACCAGAAGATAGCCAGCAGCATCTGATCAGCATGATCCCTTCCTACTCTAACAGAGAATACAGCTTTATCAAATCCTTGACTGCGCCCCCTTGGGCAATGGCTAACAAGAAGTGTCCTTGTTGCTGGAAGGATCCAGCCATGCCTGTTTGGGTAATTAAAACTGAAAGGGGTGCAAGTCAGGGATCACAAGCCCAGCAGGGGGGACACCTCTGGTGAGATCTCAAAAAACAGTTCCAGAAAAGCAGCACAGTGTGGGCCAGAAACTATGCATGTAACATTATATACGTCAATAACCACGAAATAACACATCTGGCAAGTGGGTACACAGAAAGCTGTCCACACCCTTGGTTATCCTTTGCCAGGTCTGCACATTCTCAAAACTCAACAGTCTAGCATTACTCTTTGTAACAGAAATATTAGGAATGCCCTCAAGGTGTGTATGAAACATCATTTACTTTGCATATAAATCAGTAAATTGCTCCTGCAAACTTCAAACAATTAAAGATGGATTTTAAACACTTGCGTTCTTTCCAAAGTACTTATCACACAATTTCAGGGAATTTCACCTGGGAAGCCAAGTGTTTTTAAAAAAGTTTTGTATATAATCCTGGCCACCAGCAGACTGGTTTTCCATAACTTCAACTGGCACTGTAAGGCCAAACATCCTGGGATAAAGGTCTGACATCTTGTGGCAGACTTGCTTGCTATTTAAAACAAACAAACAAACAAACTGAGGAAGGACTTGCAGGAGGATGCAAGTTTTGTCAAAGGAACAGCAGGGGAACTTCCCCTTGGTTTGGCTTTTCTGCTTAACTCCCCCTTTGTTTTTCTAGCAATGATGAGGGGTGAGAATACACACAACCTATAGTGAAAAAATTGCTGTACAAAGTTTGAGTCCAGTGGCACCTTGAAGACCAACAACTACACACGAAAGCTTATACCCTGAATAGAACTTTGTTGGTCTTAAAAGTGCCACTGGACTCAAGCTTTGTTCTGCTGCTTCAGACCAACACGGCGACCCACCTGGGGGGAAAAATGCTGTTACGTCATTTACAATCCCACAATTCAGTCTGCAATAAACTATCATGAATAATCAGCTCTGTCTGACTAACAAACCCAAGCATACCAACCACAGTGCATAATGGTAAATCAAGATCAATGAGAAATCTGCAGCCAAGATCCGCTACTTTAACTTTCCAGTATTGTCTTTTTTTACTGAGAAGAGGCAACCATACAGAGATCTCAGTGCAGCTTGCTCATTTTGGGACAACACAGAGGTTTCCAGAAGGGTCAGTCATCTCCCAGGGATAACCCCCCCCAAAAAAACTACTGACATCTTCAATACCTGTGAACGATTTGGGCCTTCAAGTCTTGAGTACTTTTACAGAGTAAGCTGCTCAATCAGGCCCCAACATGACAATACAGAGTAGTAAGAATATTTAACCAGAGAACCTGGGGCATATCCAGGGGCAGGCAACTGACGGCAGGCTGAATTATTGCTCATCTCGCAGATTATGCCTAGGCCTATTAGACTGTCTGGGGTCGGTAAGGTGGCGGCCCAGTCCTAGAAACTGCAGTGCAACACCTACACAAGCTCCTACTTGCCATCTGAGATCTCCTTCCTTACCCTCCCCCCCCATTTAGTATTACAGCTGCTAAGAGATGCTGTTACCTGGAGCAGCCGTGCAAGACAGACTTCCATGCAAAGCCTCTGGGGATCTGTTCCCTCCCTTTCAAACTGCTCCCCACTATTGTGTGTTCAAACAGGCTTTCAAGAGAGCTGGGATAGGTACTAGGATGGTGACTGCCCCCCCCCCCCACCTATGAATGAATGACTTGTATTGTGGAACAGCTGATTTTATTCAAAACTCATTTTAAACTGAGGGTAACTCTTGTCAGATTTATCAAGGGGACCTGGTTATATGTAGGTACGCATGTGTATTTGACAGGATGTACATAATAGTTCTTAAAAATATTTGAGCAGCCTTCACTTTACGTGAAGGTGGGATAAATTTAGGCCTATCTCCAGTACAACCTATTTGTTTTTTTTTAGAAAAGAACAGTGCGTACAAAGACGGGCTGCAGTAACCTAAGAGTATCTACCCACTTAAACTTCCGACGTTTTGGGCCAATGTATGGTATATTTTTAAGCTTTATTATCCTTTTTGGATCAGGAAAAAAGGAGATGTTTGGAGTTACATGGCTGATGTATTACATATTCAACTTGAAAACAGGGAACTGAACAAAACATTCTTCTTAAACCAAGGATAAGCTTAAATTGATCAGCTACTTGAACTTTTCAAGATTCTAAAAAACAAACTTGCTCTGCCCTTTCACAGTGTATGCATTCAGCATCACAAAACTATTAACCATTTAAGGGTTAACCCATTCTTAAAAGAGCCAAGGCTGGAACTAGATATTCTGACAGACTTGTGGGAGCTGATGTTTGTTTTTTTAAAAACTTGTGGGGGAGTTTTCACATGGGGGCATTAAGCATATGCCCCCCCACAGTGTGAAGTGGTACAGCCCACTGTGCTACCACATCTCAGAACTCTGCCCTGCCTCATTCTGCTGCATGAGACAGCCTCAGCCAGACCTCAGTGACATTTACTTCCAAATGAGAGTGTTTAGGATTGCAGCCTCCAAGAGTTAAAATCAAAGGGCCAGCATGGAATCCACATTTTGAAGATTACAGTCAAAATGTTTAACATGACAATCCTGTGCGTGTTTAGTTGGACATACATTCCATGGGGTTCACTGGTATCTATTCCTGAGTATGTGTGCCTAAGGATTGCAGGTAGAATTCTACCATTATGAAAACAGTACCATGAGTCTGAAAGGTTCTATGGGGTCTTCAGTGAGTGAAGACTGAAAGACAATCTGAATCTCTAATTCTGAGCCTAAATTAATAGCCAGACAAATCATCACTCTCTGTGTCACTGTCTTTGGACGACTGATCCTCTTCCTCTTCATCCTCTGCAGCAAGCTGATACACCTTCTTAGGACCTGTGCCTGGTTAAGGAAAGGACACATTGTACACACATGGGCATAAAAGCCACAACATTCCAATCCAGCCCACGAATAACCAAAAGGACCTGGGCGTGGGCTATACAGGTGGGCCAACTTTGGTCAAATATAATTCAACCAAAAAAACCCTGCTTCTGACTGTAGTAACCTAGGCTGGCCCCCACAGATCCATTTTACTAGCAGAGTTGCTTTCCTCCGTCTGAAGACCCTCTTGTCTCAGGGTAAGCCTCCTTCTGCTGGATGAAAGGGCTTCTGCTACCAGAAAAGATCTGCAGGATCCAACCCACTAAATCACTGAGGCATTTCCCCACCTCCCTGCTACATACAAGCCCTTCTTTCCATATGCCCCAACTAATCAGTGGAAATATATGCAGAACACACAGTTAATGGCTTACCAACAGGAAAGGGGCTTTCTTGTTCAGAGTCTTCCAAGTAATCAAAATCATACGTCACATTAGGGTTCTGTTGACAGAAACATTTAACAGTGTTTTAATACACTATGCTAATCCCTTATGAATGGGGCACAGCTCTTCAATTTACACACTTACTTTGAGCTTTAGCAAACTGCGCCAAGGTTCCTCCTCCTCTTTTGCCAGGATAATCATGGGCTCGCCACTCTTAAGCAGGCAGGCAGATTTCTCTTTGAGGATATTTCCCTGCAGCTCCATGTCGGCCAAATAGGATTTGCCTCCTGCAAAAGCGCTGTGAACAGGTTTTAAAGAAAAGTAAAGCAAAACCCCCCATATTTTTTATCTTAGCTGGTAAAAGGTTTTCAGCCTACCTGAAAACGATCCTCTGTGTGAAAAATCTGCAGTCATAGTTGGTGACGTCCTGTAATTTTATCTTCAGAACAGTGACGTCCCGCTTGTCATACCATTTTATTATTGGATAGAAGCTGAAATTTTAGGACAGAGGATCTGATATTAAAATTATATAATATGTGAGTTTTAGACATATGGTGACAATTCAGTTGATGAGCAACGGATGCTCCTGCTCTATCACAAGATAGAAAAGGGCATCTCAGCATCAAAAATCATAGCAAAAATGGAAGCTCCATATGCAGAAGCAGCATACCTCTGACTACCAGATACTGGGGCAACCTCCAGGGGGTGGTGGTCATCTCCTTCGTGCCCAGCTGGTGAGTTTCTCAGATGCCTTTGGCTGACTGCCTAACATCAGATACAGGCAAAGAGCAAGCACCATGGACTGGATCCTGTGGATCCATTCTGGTAGTAGCGGTGTTTTCCTCTGGAGGGAGGGAAGCATTATGTAGATTGCCCAAAGCTCCATGGAGGAAGGATGGGCTGAAAAATCCAACTGATAAACTATCTAGGGCTGCCCTGACAATTCTGGAGTTTCAACTGATGCCCCAGAACTGACTGGACCACTGAAAGCATGTTCAATCAGTACCTTCAGAGCCTGTAATGGCTTCATTAAAGGGCTGGTTCCAACGAACCTAGACCAGCATAACCTAGATAGTGAACCTTAAAGGTCAAATAGGGATGCTAACTCTTAAATACACCATCTGGGTGTCAAATCAGGCCACAAAAGAAGTGTTCCTTTCTCCCCAATGGGGGCCTAAAGCAGCTTACATTGTTCTCATCTCCTCTATTCTATCCTCGCAACAACCCTGTAAGGTAGGTCACCCAGCAAATTTCCATGAAACAAGTGGGGAGTTGAACCTTGGTCTCCCAGATACTAATACAACACTCTTAACCACTGTACCACACTGGCTTTCTGAAGGCTGATCTCAGCTTTAGAAATCTCCCCTTCCAGAGGCTCATCTGCACATTTTCCAAAGAGGACGCAAGACACATTATTCAGACTGGCTTTTGGTAGCCAGGGATAACCCAGCTATATGTCCAATTACATATATAATGTCTCAGTACCATTTGTCAGGCAGCTGTGGAGAATCTTCTGCTGTCTTATTTTGTGTAGCTTCATCTAAATAAAAGACAAAACAAGCTCACCAGACAACACATATTACAAACGTTCTTCAATAAAACTGGTAACGTGAGACTTACTTGATGTCTAAGCCTCATCTCTCTTTGTTGATCAAAGACCCATTTTATTTGGGATGAGAGGGTCTGGGTGCACTACGTGATAAGGCAGGACAAGGGAATGAGGAAGGTAGGGAACGGGAAGAGCTAAAGAGGAGAGAACACCTAGTGGCAGGGCCAGCTCTTCCACAAGGCCAACTAGGGCGACGGCCAAGGGTGCAGATCTCCGAGGGGCGCAGCGAGGCCCCTGCTGCCATCGCCCGCCCCCAGCATGGCTTTCTGGGTGCCTGCTCCACAGTGTGCCTTTGTCTCGTGCCCCTGCCAAGGCACCATCATATCCCAGCCTCCAAGCAGCGCCACTCGCCCAATGCCTCGTCCTCACGCAGCATAGATTGGCTCTTCTCTTGTCCTGCCTGCCCCGCTGCTCCTCCCACGACTACGCTGGGCGCCCACTTCCAATCAGCCCAGGATTCAGCGCCCAGAGCACCAGGCTGTAGGAAAGCACGCCTCCTCCTCCCCCCGCACAGCCTCTGTCCCCCTCTGGCCCTGCCTCCTCCCTTGCACCGCGCCCTGGCTCACCAAGCCCCAGGCGGCAGTTGGGCTCAGCGGGACCACCCCACTCCGGTTCACTTTGCAGGCGGGTTCATGATCTCCACCAGGCTTGGGGGATTTTCAAGCACAAAGTGGTGGTGCCGCCAGACTCCGCTTGACATTGCACGCGAGGTGAGCATGAATCTGGAGCTGATCTGGTCCGCCTTCCCAGTCCTTCTGGCCAGCCGCTGTCCTCTCGCCTCCCCTGGGTGCCCCCCTCCTCCGATGGTTCATGGCCCAGGCAGTCTCTGCAGGGCCAGAGTGGCGGGGATGCCTTGCAAACTGCCTCAGGGCCCCTTCCGCTGGGGCTTGGTGGTGGTGGTGGGCTTTCCGCGTGGCTTCTCTGCACTGCGTTCAGTGCTGAAAGGGGCGCCCAAGTGGGGCTGCTGGGAGGGAGGGACGGTCCTGGGCAGCTGCGAGGGCACCTGAAGGGGGGGGCGCCAGAAATTGGTGGGCTCACAGGGGGGCGCCAGAAGGTGTCCTCGCCTGGCGTGCAAAAATACCTGGAGCCAGCCCCGCCTAGTGGAGGTGCCACGGCCCATACAATGTTAGATCAAGGTGAGAATTCATCAGAACATTTTAAACTCTGAAGTAAGATTGGAAATCCTATTTCGACAAAACACAGACGAACAGAGTGCTGCATTTCACATAGGAATCATTAGTCATTTATATTACTTTTTAAAACAACAAGTGTTCTACCTGGTTAATAAGAATGATTGAAATTTACCACAGTGATTTTGCAAAGTGACTTGAGAGCAGCCACCATCAGTAACGGAGTCATCTTCTGCACTCGGCACACTGGACTGGACCTCTCCCTGGATGCTCTGTGAACTCGGTCTGATCCCATCCAACATGTTTTGCTCAGCAGGTACAGCCAACTCACTTTTTCCACATTTCAGAAGAGGCACTCTGAAAGGGGGAAAAAATCTTTGTTCTCCCTTCCCTGTTTTAGTTTCACAACCATCCTGAGAGACATATGAGGCTTAAAGTACTGACAGGCTTCAGTCTCTCAGGTTTTTAGTGTCTCAGTGAGCTTTATGGCAGAGTGGAGAGTCACATCCGGATCTCCTGGATCCTAGCCTGATATTGTAACCCACACTGATGTTCAGTACTTTCAACACCCATGACTGTGTGAGGACCACCCTTAGTACCATTAAGCTATGGAAAACCGTGTTACTGCTGATGCAGTCACTGAACCTCTAAGATGATCTCAGCGGGACCCATATCTGTCACCTGATAATTGCAGCGTGCATGCAGCCTATTTATTTAGCATACTTAGTGAACTAAGTCCCATTCTTTGAACAGACCAAATTATAGCGTATTCCCTTACAATGGAGGCAAATCTTTTTTCACAGGGGCCATTGCAGCATTTTGAAACAACTTCTGGAGTTCTTGTGTGTGCTCTGGATTGTCAACTCCCATTCCAGTAGAGAGTATCTCAGAGCAAACGTTGTATTCATTGATAGAAGTCTTCAGATCTAAGAGTCTAGTGACCCGGACCTGGAATTTTAGTACAAATAAGCATTTCCTGTAACACCATTCATGTGCATCTCCTACTTCCTTCTGCTCCAGGCCACCCTTTTTCTGCAGCTTGTCTCCTCCTCCTTCCTAATCATGACCACAATACCACTCCCCTTACCCTACTTCTTTCACTACTGCTCCTTTTCACTGGCAACCAGAGGCAAACCCCTGGACATGGCAAGAAGACCACTGGGACAGAAGGCCAGCAGTGTCGCAGGAGAGCATGCAACATCAGCTCAGAGCCAAGGTAACTGTGCACTTCCTTTGTCATTGGTGACCAGCCCAAAGCTCCTGACTGGGGACATCAGGCAACCCACCTTGCTTAGATTAAAAAGAAACAAAGAAAAACTAACAAAATCTCATATATACTGAACACACAAAATGCATCAATCTCACGTTTTTTGCTGGTAAATAATTCCAGGCAAAATTGTCAACTGATTTTGTTACATGAACTGAAACTGCCAGTGACGCTCTTCTAAAAACAATGTGTTGGATCCCACTGAAAAGATTCTTCCATGTGTGTTTGTACCACTCTCCTTTCACACAGCAGCCCTCCAACTCCCTCTCATGCTGTTTGTGTATCTCATCTCCTGGAGCAGCATTTTGGGGACTGGAGGCATCTTGAGCTACAGAGGAAGGAGAAGTCACACTTCCATACATGGAAATTTCAGTATCCAAGCCAAAGTATTTTTCTTTTACCTAGCTGAAAAATAATCTAATTCAAAAGCCCCCAAATAACTGTCTACATTGGGATACTGTAGTTAGTTTTAATCCAATAGAAGACAATAATTTTGAACGTAATAATTAAGACATCTAAACTTAAGTCTTAAGAGTCCAGATGTTCTGAGAAGGAAGACCGATTACACAGACACTGGCATCTGATTGAAGTGTGGGCCCAGATTTTCGGTTCCAGGGTTAACATGCAAACCTGCTATACTAGGGATGCCACCAGCCCAAGTACTCCTTACGGTCTTCAAAAGCAACAGACAAATACCTAGATACCACTTTTAAAAGAAAGAGAGGGGAAGGCTTCTTGGGAATTTACAAGGGAAGGAGATAAAATAAACATTACATACCATTGGATCCACCCAAATAGTGTTTTCCAAGGTAAGTACTATTTTTGCTTCATGTGGTTTCCCTCTGATCTTTTGATGAATGTATCTAGTAACCTAACAACAACAACAAGAAAACCACAGATAGGATATTTTATAATGACTTCAGCCTGCCTTTCTTTATCAATCAGAAGCCTTTTAGTACCACTCTTAATGGAAGGCAGTCCTTCCCAGGCAGACACAGAAATTCAATATTATGGGTTCGGTCCCCTTTGCTCTCCCTCTTTCCCAGACTAGGCACAGACACCTTCAGCTCTTGAATTCAAACACCGTGGCTAAAGAAGATGAGAGAAGCGCTGCTGGACAAGCACAACCAGTCATTGCCTCAGTTCAGGAAGTTTCATTGAGAAACTTGAGCAGTGCAGTCCAAGCAGATTGAAAAGGGAGGAAAGGGTGTTGTGGTTGCACTTTCTCACTGTTAGAGGGCCAATGTCCAGAGCTCCCAGTGATCTAAAAAGCATTAATCACAAACTGTGAGAGGTCTGATTATCCTCAGGATTGTGAGGGGAGGAGAGATTAACCCCTCTCTGCCATGATTTTTACCCAACAGGTTGAATAGCAGCTACCTAGATAATTTCAGGTCAAACAATTGTGTGAGATAAAAGCTAACCCCCCCCCCCCGAGGTCCTGATTTGATTTGAACTCCCAGCACATGCCTGGTTTGGCCCAAAGGGAATGTGATGCTTGACTGATGTCTACATGTTGGAGGAGGAAAGTGCTGTCAAATCAAAGCTGACTTACGTGACACCATGGGGTGTTCAAAGCAAGAGGCGAACAGCGGTAGTTTGCCATTTCAACTACATGATGCTTTCTGAATGAAGTTACACTTTGGAAGATCATTAGCTGATTGACTTACCAGAGTTTTCTCCCCAGAAGGAAAGTATTGGCTAAGGAGCATAAAAAACAAGGTTGCACTTACCTGTAACTGTTGTTCATCGAGTAGTCTTCTGTGCAGGAACACATGGGACTATGCTTCCGCAGGCCAGCCACGGAAAAGATTTCCAAGCTTTCTAATAGACTAGGAGCGTCCCTCCTCCCTCTGGCACTTTCCCACCAAAACGCTCACATGACCAGGAGGGGCGTTACTCCCTCAGTTCTCTCCATGCTGCCGCCAGAGACCCCTAGAAAACTAAAGTTCCAGAGAGTTCACAGCGGGGCAGGAGGAAGGGATGCGTGCCTGCACAGAAGACCACTCGATGAACAACAGTTACAGGTAAGTGCAACCTTGTTTTCATCGTCGTGGCTTCTGTGCAGTCCCACATGGTAAGATTAGCAAGATCACTGAGTGAAGGAGGTGGGTGTGAAGCTCTCAGGAGACCACTGAGGACCGCTTTATCAACAGTTGTTTAGCGGCACAAATTGACCCTCACCCAGAACTCTCCTATACCAGAGCAGTAAGCTCTCGGCAAGTGCCCCACCAAAATACATGTGGGAATGTGGTAAAGAAAAAAAAAAGAGCACTCTTTTGAAATGAGCCGCCATACACAGAGTGGTAATGAAAGGCTGTGCACTCAAACACAGTGTGATAGTGTCAACCGACCCACAAGGATGGATTGTGGGAGGACACTGACCATGCATTACATGAGGA